TTCAGAAGACGTCGCCCGAGAAGCATCGTATTTGAAAGAATTCGCCTTTTTTAGCTCTCGGTGTGTTTTTTAGGATCTTGTAATTCCGTTTTATAACCTGGAATTACAGTACTCTTTTTGAATCAAATTCAACGTGAATTTTCCACCCAAAAACCATCCACATCAAAACTCTTCCAACTAACACCAAGAATTCAAAAAACTGATCATGAAAACTCTCGAATATTCGAATACTCGAATGCTCTCGAATTCTTTGCTTCTCGGGCGACGTCTTCTGAAAACGGCTCCAGAATTCTCAGCAACCATTCGTACTGCTACATATTTGACTGCGGATGGGAAGCCACGTGGACAATTGTTTCGTCGCAATTTGGAAATTGTCATCGATCCGAATGAGAAGTTGATCGATGCGTTTATGGATGGGGTAAGAGGATATTTTCGGAAAATGGGGTGCTTTAGTTTGAGAACTTCCGGCTTGATAGGACAAGACTAATTTATATTATTCAATTTTTAGTATGGGGATTTTTCGAGCCAATTTTAATTGGGTTGAATTATAATTGAATTGTAACTGTTTTATGGATTTACTGAAACATAATTTTTTGCGAAAATTGTTTCGTTCGATTGCTTTAACTTTTAATAAATCTCTGTTTCATTAAACTTTCATAGAAATACGTTTTTTCTGAAACGTAGTGTCTTTTGCACAGCCACCCCATAATTGAACTTTCAGCTCATTTCTTATTTCCTCTGAAAGATATCAAAAATGTGTTATCTGATAAATTGCTTATCACAACATCAACATTTTTATACTTCGCAAGTTTTTATATCTCTTATAGGAGCCGAGATAATTGAGCTAAAAGATGATCGGCAGGGTGCAACTCTATTAGAGGTTTCACGGTATATCATGAAATATTTTCAGTATGGAAAGCAACGTCTAAACTTCCGTCGTGAAGATATCGCAATGTGGAGAGAAACCTTCAAAGACAACTACCGTCTCGTGTTCACAGTTTTCAAAGGGACAAACACAGTGATTGCCACAACCCATGCAATCACATTCAATCCGTTACCAAATCACAAAGACACCCCACATCAATACCTAGGATTCTACTGGATTCATCCAGACTATCGAGGTGTGGATAGTATGAGAATGACCGAGTATATTGTGAAAAAGAATTCGAAATGTGTCTCGGACAATGCCGTCGCTCAGAGCTTCCCAACAAGTTTGAAATTATGGGGTAAAATGTATGGGCATCGGAATTATGGACACATTCAAAGTGTTTCCTATTATGAAATGAACGAAATGAAGGTGCCAGAGGATTTGGATACAAGTGGAATTATCATCAAAAATGCAAGGGATGTGCCAGATAAGGATATTGTGGATTACGATAACACTGTTTTCCCATATGAACGGTCCAAATATGTGCTTGCGATTCTCAGATCACCAATTGGGTTTGGAAAGGTATATTATCGTTTCGTCAACTATTAATTAGTCTGTTATAAGTTTAATATTGTCTTACTGTAATTTTGAAAGAAATTGTCGATTTCCTGAAACCCAAAAATTTGAGAAATTAAAAAAATTTTAAAAGCCTCATACTTCTCATACTTCTAAATTTAAATTTTTTTAATGTGTCGGCATATTTAGAATATCGGAAAATGGATTTTTGGAAATTACGATTTCCTGCATGTCTGATTTGTAGATATTTTAATTGATTCAGTTTTCGGAATTTTGCAACTATCGGAAATTTCAAAATTTTGGAAATTCTTCAGTTTCGCATGTCGTAGTTTGAAAAGTTTTGAGTTCCAGAAATTTCGAATCATCAAAATTCTCAAAAATTTAACTCGAAATATTTGATCATAAATTTTGAAGAAAATCATTCCCGTTTCCCAAATGTTTCATTTTAACTTAAAATTCTAATATGGCATCTCGAAAAACCGGCGTTAAAAAAGAAATTAAACCAAAAAGCATATCCAAATTTGTAAAATTCCTATAAGAAATTTCGAGTTCCTCAAAAACTCCCAAATTTTGAAAACAAAATTTCCCGTTGCTGACATTTTATGATTCCGCAAATCCTTCTAAAATTATAATGATTCCGATTGTTACAGGTCGCGTACGACACATCAGGAAAAGTGATTGGATTCGGAACAGTGATCATTTATCCATCTGGAGAATGTGTTCTCTCTCCACTATACGCAGACGATCAGAGAGTGGCTCAGGCGATATTTAAGAATATCCTGGAACAAATTCCATTGGACGATAAGAAGTTGTTGAGATTCCATGTTAGATCAGTCGATAAAATCGACAAACGCTTTGAGTACGTGTTTGCAAATTTTTGTCTGTTTTACCAAGTTTTTAAAAGTTCGCAATTTTGCTAAGATTTATTGGATTACTTCTAATTTTTCATTTATTGCAGATGGATCCAACCATTTCTGAAATGTCCAGTTCGCAAGGAAGTTTCCGCATATTTGACCTATCAATCCCACTTACCAACAATTCACTATAAAAAAGTGTTTGTGAACTTTCCATACACTAATTGTGCAATTTGAGTAGGACATGTTCTACTAGATTTTAATAACAACAAAGACTTGGATTTAACACAATATCAAAACTTTTTTTAGTTGGCCACATCGTGATTCAAAAATTTCTTTTTTTTTTAAACGTGCCGAAATGACAACCACGGCAGACCATGGTTGCACTAAATCTTTACAAGATCATCTATATTTGGTAGTACGGTGGTCGGTAGAGGAAAAAATAATAATTTTAAAAAACATTCTCTTTCCTCTACGCTCCAAGAGAATATGTTTTTTCTGTTTCATCACTTCGAAAGAGGGTTTCGATATTACAAGTTCATTATACATAGGTTTTACGTTCAATTAATAAGGTCGTATGATGGTGATATTACATGACAGCGCTATGCTTTGAGTTCAGCTCACAACAAAAAAAACAAATGACAACCGAGTGTCGAAAACGGGAATATGGAAAGATTAGTCTAAACAAACACTAAAAACTACTAGTAGAAACAAGGGGTTTGAGAGTCGATAGAAATGGAACATGATAAAGGTATGAAACGATATCGATGAATTAGTATAAACACAAAACACTAGTTAATCAACAATAAACTAAAGGGATAATTATTATTCAGAATCTTCGTCCTCCTCCTCGATTCCAATTCCGTTCTCTTGGGGATGCAGGCATCCTTGGGCTCTCGGCACATCCTTGATGTATCGTTGTAGACCTGCCAGCGATCTCCATCTCCCTCTTGCTTGAATCTCCTCCATTGAATATCCTGTCGCCCTCATGTGATTCGCTCCTCCTCTCCGGAAAGCGTGATGGGTGGCTCCAAATTTTCCAATTGCCGCCAGCATCTTAGTGGCTAGTGCAGAGATCGACGATTTCGGCAGTTTCTTTAAGCCATCAAGAGAAAACGTACGGGCACTTTCCTCTTGAGTGAATCCTCCATCTACACATGAGAATATCCGCGTCACTTCCTGGATCATAGTTGAAGAACGATGATCGTTCTAGTCTCAACTGGTCATTCTTGGCCTTCTCCACGTGTACCTCAATCATCCCATCTTTTTACGTCACTCCTTCCCACTTGATCTCGGCGGCTTCCGAAGCTCTCAGCATGACGTGAAAGGAAAAATTGCCAACAGTGCATCACTATCTCTGGCCGGCAGACATGAGCGGAATTCCTTATTCCTTATTCCTTATTCCGGGTGTTTTTTCTATTCCTTATTCCTTATTCCTTCTTCCGAGTTTTTTTAATTTTGTTCCTTATTCCTTCTTCCTTCTTCCTGATTTTTTTTTGTTATTCCTCTTCAAAACTTTTGTTGTACTTTTCCTCGTAATTTTAGGAATTAATTGAAGTTGGCATATTTAAATTTGAAAAAAAAGAGAGCTCCAGAAAGATTTCCGTGCAATTCTCAAAAATTCAACACCTTAAAGGTGGGGGAGACATGAAAAAAATGTTCTCGAAATTCCGTTTAAATACGCCCCTCGAGGAGTTGGCTTGTGGGAGCGATGATTGAGGGTGCGGTGCCGCTACCGACTGAGCCACGCGGGCCAAGAGAAAGCGCAAGCCCGATTGCATTCATAAAGGCGAGGACGACAGCTGTACGCTGAGTGACATTAAGCGTTGTACACCGTCACGGTAGAATGCATACCCTGCCTACGAAAATCCTACGAAAGTCTCCTGTCCCCCCACCTTTAATTTGGATCTCGAAATTCGAAAAAAAAAATTAACGTTTCAGACTTTTTACCTTCCTCGCGCAAAACTTAAAATACTAATACGACGTCAGGGCAAGTTCCGTTATTCGACTCAAAATTTTTAAAAGTCGATTTGAAACTCGGAATTTCGGAAATCAGATTTTCGGTAAATCAGAGTTTCCAAAAACTCAAAATGCCGTACTTGTTTGTACTTTCATGCTGTTAAAACGTTTCATTTTTTTTCAATGTTCGGACTACTAAACAGGCCGTTATGAATAGTTCGATAAGGAGTTACTGAAACAGATATTTTTGTTTAAATTTGAGGTTTTGAAATTAACATTGAATTCGAATTAACTTTAACACCACTTTGAAGAAATTTCTTGATTTCCTGAAACTCAAAATTTTGAGAAATCGAAGTTCTGAAAATATCCCACTTATTGGAAGTTTGGATATTCACCTCGTAATTCAGAGAATTAACATTTTTGCCATTTTTCGGATATTGTCGGAATTCTCTTAACTTTGGGAATTCATTAAACTTGCCGTATCGAAATTTGAAAAATTATAATTTCCAGAAACTTTGAGTACCTTTCAATTCTTGAAATTTCAATGCTTTGAATGTATTTGAATCTCGAACTTTTTTGAGTTTGAAAATATGAGAAAAAAAGTTTCCCGTTTCAGACATTTTAGAATTATCCAAAATTGTTTTATTCGTCTAACATTTCCATTGGACGACAAGGAGCTGTTGAGATTCCATGTTACAATTAGATCAGCCGATAAGATTGAAAATCGCTTTGAATACGTTCTTGTTTTTTTCTGTTTTTAACAGTTTTTAGAAATTCGCAATTTTGTTGAGAACCATTCAGGGAAGTTATCCATAGTTTATTGCAGATGGATTGAACCATTCCTGAAGTGTCCAGTTCGCAAGGAAGTGTCCGCATATTTGACCTATCAATCCCACTTACCAACTATTCACTATCAAAACTTGTTCGTGAACTTTCCATACACTAATTGTGCATTTTGAGTAGAATGTGCTCTACTAGATCTTACTAACAATAAATATTTGGATTTATCTTTTTTAAAGTTTCTGATGCTTCAGAGAATCATTACAAGGAATTAATTAAATTTCTTACACTTTTGGATTGAACAGAACGTTAAAAAACTACAGAAAAACAGTGAATAATAAATATTGCAGTTTCTTGAAATTGCCATTAAACAATCGTGTTGTTAAAATTTTGGTTCACTTCTTACTTCCGACAGCTTTATTCAGCCAATCTACCATCGGGACTCTTATCCTGATTACCAAATCGGATAGCCAATTGCTCAGCGATGTTCTCCAAATAAATGTCTACAGTATCTCCGGGACGGACACGATAACTGGCTAGGGTTCTGTCTGGGATCCATAGCTCTTGACCTGGAATTCTTCAAATGTTTAAAAAACGTTTTTCAAAATTTAAGAACCTCTTATTATGATATTTTTCGAAGTTCTATAGAAAGTGAGGAATTCCTTTTTATCAAATATTCAAAGTATTCCACTTTTTCAGGAGTTGAAAAAAACAAAGAAAATTTTCTGTTTCAGTATATTTTTATGTATACATAAAATACTTCAAAATCATCTTGTTGGCATGGAATTTTCTTTTAAATCAACACCGATTTTGCGAGTTTTTCGGAAATCGATGCCCTATCTGGGATCCATAGTTCTTTGCCTGTAGTTAATCAGGAACTCGAGATAATAGAAAAACTTTTGTTCCATCACTTTCGAGTCTTTAATTGGAGAGTTTTTGATTGTTCAATTTACTGGCAAATGTGTAATTCTGAAGACGCTTCCAAATATCATATACTGAACAAAAATCGAGAAGAGACTCATTGATAAACAAATATTTTTTAATACAACCAGCCTGTTTGCCGCGCCATGGCGGACAAATTGACAGAGAGACAGAGAAAGAGACGCAACTTCATTTATTTATTATAAGAATGATTTGGTTTTACCATAGAGTAAATGAAACGTAGTTTTCAAAAATATCACTGTTTTAACAATGTTGTATGGAAATGTGTAATTTCAGATATTCTATTGTTCTTTCAAATTTCTCCAAGCACCGTTTTAATCTAATGAAAATAGGAAAGTTTTCGTTATTTTTCCTTTCAAATCTCCTTTCAAATTGTTTCTGAAAGTTTTACATTTTCATCGTTTCCGTTTACAAAATGCTTCAAATTATTTGGGTTATAACTTCTGAATTCTATAAGTAACCCCTATCTACTTTCCCAAGTGCTCGTAGCATTCACCACTCTTTTTCTAGAAAATCAATGAATTTTACAACGATTTTGTATACACAAACCTTCAAAGTACAATCTGAGAATATGCCCAGACACATCCATCTCCTTGAGAAGCATATTTTTCAATTCAGCCACAGTATACTTGTATCCCTCATCCAGAATTGTCGATCGCTTTCCTTTTACATCAAATAGTCGAATGAAGAGGGTGACAGGACGAACTTCTGAAAAACAAACTCTCGAATTTCTTATCGTTATTGTGAAACAAAAACGGTTGATGATTACCAAAACTAAAACTTCTGATTTTTTCAAGATATTGGAAACATTATTTTTATATTTCAAATTTTGATTTATCATTACCGAAACCATTTATTATGCTCCTTCATACGTCGGTTCCTGTGAGAGATGTCAAAAAGTGGTCACCTAGTAAAATGTTAACCATAAAATCAAAAGAATTTTTTCAGTTGACCACTTTTTGATAACTTTGCCTTGAACCGAGATAATATGGTTTAAGGTGTTTAGGATAAATATTTGAAAAAAAGAACTTCCAGAAAGTATAAGCAGATTTGGAAAATCAATTAAAGGGGGACTCCGACCAAAAATTTTTTTTTGCATTAAAATGTGTTAAAATTTATCTATTTTTCAAATATTATTGCGAAAAAATTCAAAGAAAACCCGAAATTCCCGAAAAACGGCGTTGAAAAGGAAGAAAATTCAAAAAAAAGGTGCCGCCTAGGGACGAGGATTTTCAGTGAGAAACCTAGGCCACGGCACCTGACAGCCTTTTTTTCAAGTTGCCGACAGTGGTTTTTTACGTTTTTTTCCTGCCGGACATGAAATTGAAAAAAATCCGGAAAATTTGCCACGTAGGAAAGGCGCCCGCTGCCGTGGCCTAGGTTTCTCACTGAAAATCCTCGTCCTCCATTTTTTTGAATTTTCTTCCTTTTCAACGCCATTTTTCGGAAATTTCGGATTTTTTTTGAATTTTTTCGCAATAATATTCGAAAAATAGATAAATTTTAACACATTTTAATGCAATACAAATTTTTGGTCCCCCTTTAAAATATCAATAAAGAAAATGACCTAAAAACTATTAGAAACAGTAGTTTTTAATTTGAATAATCACCCTTTTTTAACTTTGACTCAATTTATCATGGATTCTTGTATCAGATATCAAAAAATGATCAACAGATAAATTATTTGAGACATTCTGATTGTTTCTTTGTTACTGGATCATTTTTTTCCAGGAACCGAGATAAACGGTATTTATATGATATGTATAAACCAAATCTCATCATTGTCCGATAAGAAGAATATCCAATTTTGAAAAATATTTGAAATCGTTTTTTTAATCATCATTTATCACAACTCCAAAACTGCAAGTTTGTTTCTCAATATTTAGATTCGAAAATGAAACGGCATGACTAACAATAACTGTAAGAGATTTTTCCATGTTTAATAAAAAGTCACTCTTCGAAACAGGACTATTAATAAAACCGAAAATCTCTATTTTGTGCAAACTTGTTACAGCATTTTTTTTTAGTTCCTGTTGATTATCCCCCAATTGTCATCGTTGATTCAATTTATCCTATTTCTGTTGAAAAGTAGCGAAAAGTAACCAGCTAGTAAAATTTGAATTAAAAGATTAAGAACATTATGCCAGTGAACAACTGTTTGATATCGTTTACAGGAACCGAGATTAATGGTGTGAACTAGTAGAACTGCAAGGTATAATCAAATCAAATTTTTTAAAGTAATTTCAATGACTTCTAGAGTTTTAGAAACATTAATTTTCTTCATACAATTTTTACCAAAGAGATAATTCATTCTCACCTTGTTCAGATGTCTGGAAAAGTGTGATAATGGTGATAAAAGTGGGAAGAAGGAGGAAGCGCATGTTGATGGAAAATAAAAAAGCAAATGAGGGATTGTATCCAAAATAGGCGATAATAATCATAAGAATAACAATAATGATGCTGTAGATGAGGGAATGTAAGGATACCAACTGGTTTTTTCTTTACACTGGTTTTTTTGGCTTTTTTCTTTATGTTTTTGGGATTGATATATACTCAGACAAGAACAAAGTTCCTGCCGGGGGGTTAAGAAGGGTGCCGGCAGGCTATTGAAGTGGTGGCAGGAGAAAGTACCTGCCGGCGGGCTAAACGACACTCCGCTCGCCGGGATTTTAATTTGCATGTTTTTATTATTTTGTTTTAAAGCTAAAATTGATTATGTCTATTATTTTACTGAATTTCTTTTACGAGGTATATAAAATTATTTGTTCCGACACTGTGTACATTCTGAAAAGGAAAAGTATTGCTCCGACATTGCAAATTTCCTTATATTTTCCAGAAAATACCGAAATGACTCCTCAAACACCTCGCGGTCGTTTCTGCAACAATGGATCTGTGTCTACGTTTCCTCCTCCAACAGGTATTTATACCATAATTTATCAGTTAAAAAAAACTTTACAGGATCTCATTCGAAAAACGACAAATCGGGAACTACACTCAACAAATCTGGAAATAACCTCACAACTACCCTCACCGGTGAACAAAACAATATAGAGAATTCAGGATTTTAAATTATCTATTCCAGATCGGCTTATGAGTTTCGTATACTTTGACAAACTCGATATCTACGTTACTGGCAAACTTCTTGCTAAAGAGTCAAAACAAAAGGATAGGAAGAGATTGTCTAGATGATTATCAGGATGAATATTTCAATGCAGAAGAGTTATTGGATGATGATTCCGATGGTCGTCGAAAAAATTATGAGAACTTTACGGAGCTTTTTGAAGAGACTGAATTCGCTTCCGAAAACAATGAATGCGAAAATGATTCAAGCTCCAAAGATAGTGAGTTGTTTTCTTCATTGTTTTCAAAATTCCTATAACTGATTTCAGTACTCGTCTTTGTCTCGTTTATCCTTATGCTCCGGTTATCGCGAACCCAAGTTAAAATGGCAATCGCAATCGTCGAATATTTTCTAAAATGTTCTCTGCCTTTCACGGTCAGTCCAGCTACTTTTATTCAGATCATAATGTCATTTTCAGGCAAAAGAAGTGTTCGATGAAGTAAACCGCCGACGTATGAGTCACGCTCCAAAAACTCGGCTTTTTTGTCCAAAGTGTTTATGTTTCATACCGAAAGGACAATCATGCTCAAATTTTGGTCAGCAGCAGAAATTCAAATGCGGAGCCCCAAGTGGAACGAATTAATCAAAGATTCATCGTCCATTTAGTATGTTTTCCACTGAATTTTTTGTTCGTTGACTTTGGAATCTTTTTCCAGTTATCGAGCTCTTGTGCGAAATCAGCCGTTCAAGTCTACATCATCTTCGCATCCGGGTCCGCAGAAGAGTCAAATGCATTTGATGAAATTTCGAAAAAGGAGAAATACTAGAGGATTCGGATCTGTATGCTTATTCATGATTCGAGGAGGCCAGAGCTACGTGCTCATAGAAGAATATGGATCAGCAGCTGCTCTAAGACTTGATTTTTCAAAGTTAGCTCGGAACACGCAACGTTTGGCTAGGTCAATCAAACTTTTTGCTGACAATAATTGTGACTCTCTTATTGTTAAATGCACTAACCTAGTTGGTCTCACATTGATCCCCACTTCTGATGTTTTATCTCCTTTCCTATCAATCCAGTTTGATGGAAACACTTATTTCTGCCCCAATCGTTACTCCCCCATTGTTGTTAGATAAGAATAATTTCTTTTGATAATAAAAACTTATATTTTGTTAATATTCTCATTTGATTTTCATGAAAAACGCCCTGGAAGAGGAAGGGGGAAAGAACAGAAAGCATTTACCTGCCGGCGTGAAAGTCCATGCCGGGAAGCTAAAAAAAAAGTCCCTGCCGCTGCCCTGCGGCAGGAACTTCCCTTAACCCCACGGCGGGAACTTTATTCTTGTCTGAGTAGGATAAGAATAAATTATTAGGCAAAAAGATAAAATAATTGACGGTTAAAGGGGGACTCCGACCAGAAATTTTTATTGTATTAAAATGTTTCAAAAATATGTATTTTCCTAATATTACGGCGAAAAAATTCAAAAAAAATCCTTTTTTTCCGGATTTTTTCGGTGTTCATGTCCGGCAGGTAAAAAATGTAAAAAAAACACTGTCGGCCACTTGAAAAAACAGCTGTCAGGCGCCGTGGCCTAGGTTTCTCACTGCGCGGGAATTCAAATCCTCGTCCCTCCTAGCAACTTTTTTTTGAAAGCATTTTTCGGGGATTTTGGATTTTTTTTCGAATTTTTTCGCTATGATATTGGGAAAATAGACAACTTTTCGAACATTTTAATGCAATAAAAAATTTTGGTCGGAGTCCCCCTTTAAAGGGGGGGGGGCAGGAGATTTTTCGTAGTTTTTTTTTGTAGCTAGAGTATGCATTCTACCGTCACGGTGTACAACGCTTAATGTCACTCTGCGTACAGCTGTCGTCCTCGCCTTTATGTATGCAATCGGGCGTGCGCTTTCTCTTTGCCCGCGTGGCTCAGTCGGTAGCGGCGCCGCACCCTCAATCCTCGCCTTCACAAGTTCAACTCCTCGAGAGGCATCTTTGAACGGAATTTCGAGAACATTATTTTTTCATGTCCCCCCACCTTTAAAACGGAAAATATGAAATTTTGGAGTTCTGAAAAAACATTAAATTTTTTGGGGCCAAAAACATAAAAACACAAAGCAATTTAGGGGTACAAAATCCACAATTCGAGGGTACGAAGTATTTTTTTCAATTCGCACACTCTCGCCCCGAAAAAACCATCAACTTCTGAACCGTCCGGTTCTCATCCGGTACACTTCCGATTTGTCAGTTTTCACAACAGAACGACTCCGAATGACTGCCAAACAAGCTGGCTCTAAAAAAACGATTTGTAACGGAAATTTTAACATCATATTTTAATATTTTTGGTGAAAGATCCTCATTTAAAAAGCTTTTTTTTAAACATGCAAGCTAAAAAAACAACCTGAAATGCTTGTTAGTTACATCTAGAAATAGCGAACTTGAGTTTTAGTTAAAAAATTGCGAACTTGAGTTTTAGTTTTGTTTCATTGACGTTTTTGCATTCTTTTTTCTAATTTATTTTAGTTGTTCAAATTTTCCCTTTATTCACGATCGCTGGAAATCAATATTTTAACTATTTCTTCAGTACTGATAGTTTTCACAAAGTTTGTAAAACAGTTATTTTTTTTCTGTTCTTAAATATTCAGAAGTCTCGAAAATTGCAAATTTTACTACTCAGTTCATTTCTAAATGTTCATCGTTGTGGCTCTATTTCTGGAAGTTATCATCGAATTTTCTAGATTCAATAAATGAAGTGAAGGTTCGGATTTTTCCGAGTTCTAAATTTTAGTTATTCCAATAAAAATTAGTTTCACGACCGTAAATTATATTTCAATCACTTTTCATGTCACTTTTTTTCGAAATTTCAAATTTTTGTGAATTCTTGAAAAAAAGCCGGAGCTGACTATTCAATCTCATTTTGTAGCAGTTCCGTTTCGCGCAGTTCCAATCAAACATTCGAGGCAAAAATCTTTTTTCACTTCTTCTAAAGTAGCCGAGGGGCCACTTTTTCAATTTTGTGAAACAGTATTTTTTATCAATTTCCAAAATAAATACTTTCGGAAACAGGGCCGCAATTTTTTTCGGTTAGGGTACTTCTGGGATATGATTTGGTGATCTAGAATTTTTACGGGTTATTTTGGGGGCATAACGATTGGTTTGATCCGGCCCGCGGTCGACCACGGTTATATTTTTGACATCAGTGCACTTGATCAATGTCTCAACCGACTAGACTTCTTTTTCCTTTCCATCTTATCATACATCATTATCTAATGTGTCCTCCAATGTACTCACTTTTAAAAAACCTCCTATATCATGTTCTTTTTCCATTTTCCACCCATTTGTTCATTTACTTATTCCACCACATCTTCATTTTTCCATCCATATGACTTCCTATTTTTCATTCTATATTCTCCGTCCACGTCTTCTTCAGAATCCACTTCAAACTGTTCGAAATTTGAAACGAATTTCCCAAAGGGTAGGTCAAAAACTAAATAAAATAGTTTACACTTCGCTGTACATTTTTAATGGGACACGTTTTCGATTTGATTCGAAAAATAGAGAGTGGAGTGACGCAGAGAAAAAGAATTCTCGTTGTTGATAGCATGAAAACTGATAGACGAACCGATTTGTCAGGTGTTTCTCGTCCAACCAATTTTTCATTTTCTTTTTATTGGTTTTCTCTTTCTTTCTTTTCATGCGAATTTTTTTTCACACTTTTCTCTTTTCTTTATATTATTTTTACATTTAGTTTCCGGAATACATGACTTTGAAGAAAAACTTGTTTACAGTTTCCAAAAGTTTTAATAAGTTTTAAAACTCGAGAACTTTTAGTATGAGATCGTTTCTGTTGGCAGACTTTGATAAGGTGAACTTTTATTTTAGGAGGTATCGACCAGGCCTGTGCGGCAACAAAATTTTTTCGGCAATTTGCCGAATAGGTTTCGGCAACGTTCGGCAACTCGATAATTGCCGAAAAAAAATTTCGAATTTCGGCAACTTTCGGCAACAAAAGTTTTGCGTCTTTTTTTTTAGTAAAATCGATACGTAACTCACCTGAAAATGCTTCTATCAGGCTCAAAACTACAGAAAATGTGTTTCATAAGTTCCTTAAAAAAGTAATTACAAAAATTGGCAACTCAAGACCACATTTTTTATGCAAACTATTTCTCTTTAGCAATAGAGGGTATTCCAATGGTTGAAAATATTTGTTCCGATTGTGAGTTTTGAAAATAGTGCGCTCAACTTGTTAGGCAACTCACGACACACGTTCCCTAGAGATTTGAGACAGATTGGATAATTTTTTTGATGAGTTGTGACTCATGATATCTATTTTTCTCCTATGCTCACAAATTTAAAGTCCATTTTTAGATCCGATGCAAGTATTTTTGATGGTTATTGGGACACATTTCCTCTAAAATTCACTCTGAGGGATGATGGTATTCAAAATTTGATTTTTCGAACTTCGAAATCATTTTTTTGACTAGAAAAATTGTGAAAATCTCTAAATTCAAAAAAATTTCAGTTGCCGAAATTGCCGAAATTTTTTTGCCGAAATCGGCAACAGCAATTCGGCAACGGCAAATCGGCAACGAAAATTAGGCAATTTGTTGCCGCACAGGCCTGGTATCGACTCAGCAATCTAGCCAGCTTATTGACCGCTAGTTTAACTCTTCGAACGGCAAAGTGGTACAAAAACTTTTTTTTAAATGTCCCACCTTAATATTCTAAAAAGTTTCTGTTTCAATGGTATCAAATATGGGGAGAAAACTTATCAAGCTAATTCATGGATTGTTAACTCCTTTCCTGAACTTTGAGCCAATTTCTCTCGTTCCCTGTAAATGATATGAAAAAGTGGTCAACTGAAAAATCATTTATCAATATTTCTGAATTGTTTTGTTAGTTGATCACTTTTTGTTATCTTTTACAGGAGCAGAGATAAAGAGTTCTTGGGACCATTGTGACCGTAATTTTTGAAAAATAAATTCCGAATTGACAGTACACTAGATTTATTTGAATAAATGTTTTCGTTTTTATGAAACAGGTATATTTGCTGAATTGAAGCGGTGACACAACAATTTTTCTGTTTTTGTCATATTTTTCGCCTATTTGCATACTTTCCCGGTCGAATTTCTCTCATTATTTTCAAAAATCAGAAACGCTATACTGATCAATTTTTGAAGGCGCATGGTTACGATAAAATTTCTTTAGCATTTTTTCCTATTTTCGCAATCTTATAATAGCGACACATTCAATTTCTCTATGATTCATTCTTTTTTGGACTTATTGAATGCAATATTATCCTCTGGATCATCCGTTATCATCGTTGGCGGTTATCCATGTAATTCCAGAATTAAATATAGTGCAAAAATTTGATCATCTAATGTGAAATGGATGTCATCAAATCTATAAATTGTGATTATAAAATTTAGCCGTTCCAGGAAGTCTTGATTTTCCGATTTCAATTTTAAAAATTCATAGAAATCCAATTTAAATTTCTTCTGTTTTTCGAATGTAATGAGTAAAAGAAGAATGTTTTTCATTAATAGTAAGGTCTCCAAATTGTTTTGAAAATTTCGAAATCCGTTCAAAAATGTTCGGTTTCAAACGGTTTGAATCTATCAAAAAATTTAGAACTGATTGTTCCTTTGTGTGTTTTAAATCAATTTATCTTGTTTCCTGTGAAAGATATCAAAGAAAAGAACTGATAAATTATTTTACATGATTTCAAAAAATTTTTGTTAGTTCACCACTGTTTGATAGATTTTACAGGAACCGAGATAAATTCAGTCATAGTTGAAGTGACTATTGTGACCGTAATTTTTGAAAATTAATTTGCGAAGCGACAGTACACTAGTACACTAGATCTATTTTGAATAATTTTTCTGTTTCATGAAACAGGGATATTTGATATAAGCCTTTCAACAATTCTCCATCTTCATCAATCACTCCAAACCGCGTATTATTCATTTCTCTATGATTCATTATTTTTTGGACTTACCGGTTATCCTCTGGATCATCCGTTATCATCGTTGGCTGTTATTCTTATAATTCCAGATTCAAATTTATTTTTTGCCGTCATCATAGTGTAAAAATATGATCTTCCAAGCTGAACTACAGGCTTCCATGATTTCTGATTTA